ACGAAGTTTCAAATAATTTTTAAAAACATCCTATGAACTTTTTCTCGCCTCTTGTTGGATTTAATTATTTCTCGCGTTTTTAAACACTCCACTGGCGAGAAATGAGATTTATTAATTTTACTCTTCGACGACCTCATCACGCCACTTTGGATGAGAAATAGTACTTGTTGGTTAATGAAAGTCGATCATAATTAGTCGTGAACACGGTTGTGTCGTGAATGTCGTAATATAACCTCAGTTTTTATTGCTTAAATGTCATACATATTGTTTCTTGGATTTTAAAAAATTTTCAAATTTAAAGAAATTTTTTATACTACGCAGGCGCATGTGGGTACTGCGTATTATATTTTTTTTTATCTGATATGACACGCGACCACGTGTATACACGACCGTGGTATTAAGTGTGTATTAGTGATGACGTTAATTATTTATTAAAAATTGATAATGTGCGTCAACACATTATAGGTTAACGATGTGATATCACCGTCGCCGGCCGTCGCGTCTTCATCAGATGATTGCACATCAAATACCTTTCATGACTCTCCTCATTTGCCTTGTACTTTTTCTAGATTATCGGAAGGAAATATCATGATTAACGTAAGTCAGCTCATTAATCAAGTGGACAAAAACAATTTTACACTGTATTCAGAATGGGAGGATACGGGTTTTAAAATAATGATACTGAGGTCATGCACAGTGCCATTAAGTGGCGAGGTATAGAATTAATATTTATTTATTTATTTTACAGTATATTTACGTGTGTTATAAAAGTTATCTCAATATTTTAGATGCGTATGGAGGATGCTAATTATTACATAAAGCACTTGGACGAATCCTTTGATACGTATCTGGAGAAGACGAAACACGCATTCTCTGGTAAAAATGCCGATATACAGTTCTTTCTGGAGGACGATACATTCACATGGAAACACCAAAACATTCTCACTCGTGGAGAAATTGCGGTACACTCTCTGTCAAATATATTAATTCTTTCCGACACTTTAAAGCAGTCGTTAGAACATTTTCAAAAATGTCAAGAGCGAGCAATGGCATTGGAGAACGAGAACGAGCATTTAAATAAGATCAATACAGACCTGATCAAATCTGTAGAAGAATTGATCAATAAAAAGACCACTATGGAGAAAGAACTTTACATGAAGTTTCTCACACTTCTAAATACAAAGAAGAAAAAAAACAGAGAGCTTCAGGAAGCTTTGGACAGTGCCAAAAAGACGACACAATCGGTATACGATAAAACCACTGATGAGAGCGAGGGATCAGAGGTGGAGAATAAGAAAGTACATGGTACTAAATCATCTAAGACAAGAATACACAAGATAGATTATGAGAATGAACAGAAAGTTGCACCAAAGAGTAGTGAGAAAAATCTTAAAAAACGTTTCTCTTCTAGTGAAGATACAAGTCCTGAGCCTTCAACAAGCAAAGGCAATATAGCAAATATACAAAACATGGACATAGATGATACAATAAAATCCAAGCAGGTACTTAAGAGTTCAGAAGAATCTGAGGAGGATATATTTTCCTAGTGACAAAAGTAATATATTTTGCATTCTCTTCCTTACATTTAAAAACTAAATTTTTTTAACATAATTCATGAATTATGTTATTCTTAAAAAAAAAAAAAAAACTTTTATATGTTTATATATCAAAATTACTAGTGCACATATTCGATTATTATATTTTTAAATAAAATGTTCTAGTCTAGTACTTTAATAGAAGATATATATAATTTTATATCAGAAGATTTATTATATTATGCGATAATCAATAATATATTCAAATGAAAGTTTAACTGTATTTCTGACACAGTAGAGCAACTATTATGTATTATAATTGCGTATACTATGATTATTACTATTTTATATAACAAAGTATATATTTCCACATACTGAAATAATAAAAGTATTTCATTAATTTCAAAATAACAGAGTGTAAAATGATGAGTATGTTTAATGAAAGTATTTTGATGAAATAATTATGGTATTGCAATGTTTAAATATAAAATTCTTTTATATTTAATATAATTATATTAAAATGATTGTATGAGATAATGATATGCTTTGCGTCTTCAATACTTAAATTGTCCTGATTATTATAAAAGATTGAATTCAAGGATTGGGAATGAGATCGAGGATCTTGAAAATCGCACGATTTCGTAAAGGTGGTTAAGAAAAGTAACAACTATTCGATCATCAAAGATTGCCTATGTGTTAATGTTATCCACAATATTTTACATAAAATATATATTACAATGTTGTCATTAATAAATAACGAATAATGGTAATAATATTTATCGTTTCGCTCTAATGATCAATATGCAAATGCCGAGATTTACATAATTAAGTACATCACGTTCCACAGTAGAAATTCAAAATGTGCAATAAAAGCATCAAGCGAATTTGTTGAACGTATTATCACTCGACGATTTCATTACAGATATCAATCTCGTCAGATTCATTCTACGATAATTGACTTACGATTAGTATATAGTTTTGGGTAATTAATGTGTGTTCCCTATATGACTGGGGAATATTTATGATTGCTTGAAATTGTAACAGATGAACGTCGTACAAAGTACGCGCGGCTTCTTGAATGTATAACTCGAATATTCAGATTTGCTCATCTAAAAGTAGTTCCAGAATATTAGTAGGTAAATTTGAAATGCGATACAAACGAGTACAATACTCTGGCGCTGCTTAATTGCCTGCAATTATCGTCGAAAATATACATGAACGAATCTCTTCTAATATATAATACATAAATTATCATTAAGAACTGTAGACTAGAATATGGCCGAATGTGTGAGTTCTTATATCTATTTAATTAAGGACATAAAACTGTCTTTAATAAAGATTACATAACTATTGAGTTAACAAAACAACTTACGTGCCATAATTTCTGAAATGATCAGTACAACATTAAATCGTAATTGCGCAACAAAGTAAAGACTTTGAAGGATTCATCAGTAACAATACCATTAGCGCTACAAAATCACAAAACAATGATGATTCGGAATGTCGAAGTGCATTGCTCGGTGCCGCAAGCGAATAGATTAATATAGGGAGTGTCTTTCATACGTGGCGTCTCGTTATCCTTTTCTGATGTGGAAGAGCCAAGGTTGGATCAAAGGTTGGTCTGAACACAGGTTTGAAAGGTAGCAGAAGTACGTTTTTGATTGTATGGATCACTTAGAAACATCCAGCTCGCAACAGGTTCTCTGGGAAGTTTCCTCTCGCGTTTACCCTTTCAAACTCGCATTCAGACCGATGTTACTCAGCCGGGCATCTTCCGATTTATCATAGCCCCGAGATCCGGCACGATTTGCCTTTGCTCGCGATTGAACAACAAAGATCTCGCGTTCAAAAACGACAGGTCCGGTAACTTATTCAGAACTTTCACGGTCTCGGCTTGCACGGTCATCGGTCGCCCGTATCGGTCCATAACCACGTGTTCCGCATCTTGCATGTTCTCTTTCTTACCTACCGACATCTTTCTGTGATACTCGTGTACCCTGGATGTATTATTGCTTATTGGAAACGACTTATTGTTGGTCAGAGGAACATTTCTCAGTGTTCGATGCGACGGATTGCTCTTCTGCTTAATTCCAAAATCTTGCTCGGTCTTCTTCTTCCATTCTATTGTGCATGGTCCTGGCAATGGTTCTATTATTTTGGATGTCTGAGACGATTTTTGATGTTTTTGTGAACTGTTGGTTCCGCTTGGTTCTTGCATAACTGCTTCTAGTGGATCTGTACCAGTAATAAAAATTGATAATTAATTAAAATAAATTAGTAGAATTACGGATACAATAATATTGAAAATACTACGAACGTTTAAAACCAAGCAGATAAGAGGAGGCTACTTAATTTCTAGTACAGAAAGGATATTTTTCTACTTGAAACAAGAGTTATGAATATACATATATACATGTATGCAAAGACAGAGACATTACAGTTTGATCACTTACAGTAATAAACGGAGTTTGTTGAGCAAGATGACTGATGATAGGATTCGGAATATGTGGAGCAATGAGGTGTTAGTAGAGGATCAAACGGACACAACAAATCCAGAGGCAGAAGAGCGGATAACCCACCACCACCTGTATCGTTATTTTCGCGATATTTAGGACAGCATTTAACACACTTAGTCTATATGTTATAAAACAACACCATACTACTTTTAAATACATAAGAGATACTTATTCAGAAAATATTCTCTCTCTAATCTCGTTATATGTGATAATTTAATATCCATTTAACAAAATATGAGACATGTAGCAATGTTTTTTCTTCAATGCATATCTTAATCAAGCTAACACACATAACTACAATAAATACTTACTAGCATCTAGAGGATTTACAAGGCCAGAACTATTCCAATCAAATTGGGCAGCAGGTACTTCCTAATACGATTATTACAATTATTAATTAATACAAATATTACTTACGTATATTACACACACAGAAATAAAGTCTCAACTTACATCTGAACAAGCCGCGCCTTGTGTCTTGCTGGTATTAGCTGCAGAAAACTGATGAAGCTCAGCAGTAGCTTTAATTGGCTCTAACGGAGTAAAGCCGAGATTTGCAGCAAATCTTGGTATATTCGGGTTCCACCTCGGTCCAAATAACTTTAATTTCATATAACATTGTTACTTTTTTGTTCATATATGTATAAAATATATTAATGAGCAAGTTACGCATACTTACAATGTTCCGAGAATCGATGCCAAGAGCATTTAAGAGAACATTGTTACTACTACTATTCGCCCATTGGTAAGTGAGGGCATTGGTTTCTTCCACGCTCTTCACATTCTGCCAAACTTTATCTGTCTTATCTATTAAGGCTTTCAACTCAACTTCGTGACATTCAGAAACCACGGAAAACATGTTTGTTATTATATCTTCTATTTTATTCGCAGCCTGAAATTGTTTTAATTAAATTAAAACGTTAAAATATATTAAATTGTATCATTTATATTATAATGCAAGACTAAGAATCTAAATCAAAGCAACTCACTCGTTACTTTAATAAACTACTAGTAATTTTGTATTACACAAACATTCCTAAACTCACATTCTTGTTTTCTATCCGACATATAGATTCTTTTAAACTAAATTGCTGTGTCTCTACTACATCGGTTGACGTTTCAAAATTACTAAAGTCTCCGAAATCATCGTCGTCGTCAGGTACCTTCAGTTCTTCAGCATCGTCAGATTTCCATTCTACCGTCGTACTCGAAAAATTAGCAAAATCGCCAAAATCGTCATTTTCGTTGTCCGCACTTTCGAACTCGGGACAACCATTCTCTCGCGCTTCGGTTGCTGCCGGCTCGTTCGCTCGTAAATGAAAATCATAAAATTCGCCGTCGCTAAAATATACTGCAGAATTTTTGCTTTCATATGTGGCACATTCTTCGCCCGCGGTACTCGTAATATTAACTTTATCCTTTAAACAGTCGAGGGATGTATTAGTAGATGGCAGTGAAGCTCCTTTCATTGGTGAAAATTTTTGTATACAAGACGCGTCGGATGAAGATGTATGTAAATCGTGAGTTTGTACTGTCTCGTATGTACTATTACTGGATATTGAATTGTAATTATTTGTCAACTCCGACACATCGTCAAAATCTCTATGCTCCATAAATTCTGTAAAATCAGAATTATCCAGATCGGGTGCGTCAAAACTATTTTCCGGAATGTACTGTTTGCGTATTTCCTCACTACTCGACTCTCTTTCCTCATAAACGGAAATTTCCTCGCTTGCCCCATTCACATCTACCTTTTGAATAGTTTGATTTGTTGTATCTACGGCTACATATTCGCTTTCTTTTGATTGTATAGTATTTTTTATATCGCAGAAATTATTAGCAAAAGTACTCGCGTCGCTTTTTTTACTAGAGTTATGAAGGTGAATGTCTTCATTATGTACGGATGTATGATCTACATTTGATTCCTCTCTCACAGCATCCTTGTCGAAAGTGAAATCAAAGTTGAAAGAATCGTTTACACTTTTACTCGACTTCTCATTGCTCGCGTCAGCGTTGGATATTACATCGTACATCTCTATATATTTCGGCTGAATACTGAATTCACAGTCCGATTGTCTAAAAACATTGGTACCGTCTACATTAAGTTCTTGCGAGGTAACAAAACTGGAAATTGTCCTTTCATCGTGGATAAAGGCAGATTTATCATTAGTATCATTGACACAGGTTTCATTCTCGCCGTATGACGCGTAAGTTTCTCCAATCTCGTCCGTTACGTTGCATTCTGTGTCCACGGAATTAGGCTTGTCGTTCAAGTAATCCGTCTGCAGAACCGTCACAGTTACATCCATCTCTTTATCGCAAACAGCGTCGTTCCACTCGGTAGAATCTTTGAACTGTTCGTAATTGTAAAAATCGTCGTCCAGAATGTCCGGCGTGCTCGTAGGATCCTCCAAGTCCAGACTCACAGGTTCGACCTCGTCATTCGCCTCCAAATCGTTCGACGATCCCTCCTGCTCACTGACTGTCTTTACGCTATCTGCTAAACTACTATTGTTGCTACTAATTACATCCGTATCAATAAAATTCTCCTTAGCTAAAACATTCTGAGTACAAACGTGATGAATGCTATTACTAGTCTCAACATTACGCGACTCGCCATTCCTAGGTGAATCTAATAGACTGTGTTCTGTTGTACTAGCTTCTTTAAAATTGTTTTCCAATACGTTACTATTATCCGTTCTATCCTTCAATCTTACGTGGCTCACATTGTTCTCTGCCTTCTCGACGATCAGCAGATCGTCGATAACGCCACATTTCGAGGCTTCGTTTATCTTAGGGCAATCATCCAATACTGGTGACTCGGTAATACCGTTTATTCTAGGAGATACGTTCTGTGATGCTATTGGGGTCTGTATCGGAGTAATAAGTTTCTGTGGGGATCCTGATGAAGCGGATAGACCTGTAATAACAATTATACAAATTAGAAGACGATTACGCGAGGTAATATGGAATGTAATTTTGCTATACGTAATAGTTGCCAATTTATATAAATACCATCTATTCCACCAGTCGTGAAGTCTCCGAATTCATCTTCATCAGACTCTCTGAAGTTGTCTAAGGGTGGTGGCGTGGAGCTGACTAAAGGTGGGAAAGCCATGGTTCTCTCCTGTTTCAACAACACGTTTTATCTTTTACAAACATCAACGAAATTAAACAAAGATGTAAAATGATAAAATTCCCTCGTTAAAATAATGCGTGAAGATGATTCGTTCGGAATCATTCGACCACCTTTGGTCGCGTATACGGACTTTGTTTACACTGCGCCTATCCTTTCTCCATGCATGCACTCCGTTACATATGTCAAACGCGTTAAGGTTAAGTCGCACTCTCGGACACGGACTCGCGGGGGGTTTTCCCGTGACCGGAGAGAAGGTAGAGCTCTCCGAGGCGAGGCTCTCGCGCGACGACGACGTTGTTTTTACTCTCTCGCCCTCGCCTCTCGGGCTACCTACCACCACGTACCCAGTATAATCCGCTCCGTGGACCTCGGGATGCCCGTCATTCTATCTCGACACTGTCATCGCGGCGATCGTCGCGGTCGCGGCGTGCACGGGCGCGACGGGCCTCGGTAATTATCACAGCCAGGTCACAGTATAAGTGGCCAGGTATCGGGTCGACCAGCGGCAGCTCGTCCGTGCGTGACGATTGGATGCACGATGACGGTGACACAGGGGTATTGTATATACTGTGACGGCGATGTCATGAGACATCGCAGGTATGTAACATCACCTGTTCCGAGTTCCGTGGCGCGCGGGCGCGTGCGCGACGTATAACGGCGCCCACCTGCCGTGAGTCATGCGCACTCGCGGCCGTTCAAAATCGGCCCGTTGGTCAACGCGAATTAAAATGCAATGTAAAATGAATAAATAAATAATCTGGAATAATTTTTTGAAAGGTGCAACGTTACATGGTTTTATCCGACGATACAAACAATTATTTAATGATACATTTTGTAAGTATAATTTATTATATCATATATTATAACATTACACTAATGTGCATATATTGATATGTTAATACATGGATATTATACATAAAATGTAACATATTTATTCGTATATGTATATAACATTAATTATAACGTGTGCAATTTTATATATAATGTGTAAATTATATATTCTTATTTTTATTTTATATTCCTTATATAATAATTTTATAGTATCACATTTTTCGGAACACTTTGTTATTTATTAAGAGAACTAATAATCGGTAATATGCATAAATATACTGCCGCGTACATATAAGCTTCTTATTGGTATGATGATTAAAACGCAACTGTAATAACGAAAGAATAATGGTCCCATATATTTAATTCTGACAATTCTCAATTGATTTATCTTGTTCGGAGGCATGTTTGGTGCGTCTGTGTTTCCTCATGTCTCCTTTCTGTCTGAAGCATCTGCCGCACACGTCGCACGAGTGCGGCTTTTCCCCGGTGTGTATCTTGATGTGGTTGTTCAAGGCCTCCGTTCTGGTGAAGGCCCTCTCGCAGTAATGGCACTTGTACCTGCGATCGCCACGGTGTATCAATCTGTGCTGATAAAACACAGACCCGGTCAGGAATGCCTTGTTGCACACCTCGCACTTGAACGGCCTCTCCCTCGTATGCTTCTTCCTAACGTGATCCGCCAAGTCCGGTTTTATCGTGAAACGCTGATCGCAATACTCGCAAGCGTAAGGCTTGATGCCCATGTGGAATCTCTTGTGGGTCCACATGTGACTGGACTGCGTGTAACTCTTTCCGCAAATGTTACAGACGTACGGCCGCAATCCGTTGTGCCGCCTTTTGTGCGCGTTCAAGGAGTTCGCCGTGGGCAGCAGGCTGCCGCAAATGTCGCAGGGAAACTTGGAACATTGATCTCGTCCGTGATCCTGTACATCCTCGCTTTTGTCGAACACACTTCCGCAGAGTTCGCAGATGAACTTCGCGTCGCCCGACTCGGACAATCTGGACGCGCGGGCGTGTCTGTTTTGCTTGTGTTTGTACAGCAGGGATAATTCCTTCATGTCCTTGTTACAGACCTCGCATAGAAAGACGACGAGAACTTTAAACAGCCTGGGATGTTCCTTCCAATGTAAAACAGCTTCCGCGAAGGATCTGTAAGTAGCCACGCATGTATTACACGTATAGGGTCTTTCGACAACATGATGTTTCTGATGAGTCTTCAGATTGTCCGCGTTGGTGAAATGGCTGTTGCAAAACTCGCAATGATACAGCTTCGATGTCAGCAACTCCTCGATCAGCGTGACTTTGTCCTCGTGTATTATCTTGTAATGAATATCTGCATCGTCGCAAGAGATAAACACTTCACCGCATTGAAGGCATTTCCAGACCGCCTGGCTGTTCTCGATAACTATGCAGTGGCTCGCGACATGTTTGTTCAACCTCGATTTCTGCGTAAAGCTCTTCGAGCACTCCGAGCACTTGTAAGGCTTCTCAGGCAGGTGCGTCACTACGTGACGCTTCAGAGTGTAGCCGTCGAAAAAGCCTTTATTGCACACTTCGCAAATATGAGGCCGATTCTTACCGTCGACGCAAACGTGCACTCGGAGCGCCTCCTGATCCTCGAATAACTTTCCACACTGCAGACATGAGACGCTATTCTCCTTAGAATGTTGCCTCTTATAGTGGTAAAATAGCTTCAATTCTTTGCCGAACGTTATCTTACAGACCTCGCAGTATAATGCTTTCGCACCTTTGTGAAATTGCATGTGGAAGTTTAATCGTTCTTCGAACACGAATGTCTTGTCGCATATGGGACACTTATATGGCTTCGTTGTGTTCTGTATACTGGGTTTACATTTATGACCATCTAGTGTCTCCTCGGTGTGATAGAGATTCATGCACGCTCCACACTTTAGATATGTCTGTCTATCTCCTAGGCATTGTAATGTGATAGAACGATTCCCGTTTTCCTTATTGACCTTTGCGTTATTAAATATGTTCTCCTCATCACTGCTTTCTAAAATTATATCATTCTCGTATAATTCCATGTCCTTTGTATTCTGGAATGTTTCTTCACATACATTCATAAAGCCCTTTACGCATAAAGGACAGGATTGTTGGTCGGAAAACAATCCATTGGAAATATTAAAAGATTGCTTCTCCTTTAACATCGTTGACAAGATTTCCTCCGCTTTAATGCATTGTGTGTCAAATTTGTCGCACCAGTTTACTTTCTCGACGCAGGTCAAACAGAGCTGTTTCGGTAATGGGTCCGTCTTCTTAATCTACAATGAATTATGCTATGTAAAATATACGTATTTACAAACATTATACATATATGCATAATCATAGTATGCAGTATGTTTACAAAATAGTTTTAATAAAAAATATTTTACTTTAATGCTTAGACACGTATTTATTTTATGTGCCAATTTCATTGATTCTCCAAACTCAGAATAAATATATATTGGGTTAGTGGTTTGACCAGCACACAATCGACAGAAAGCAAATAAGCTGTTTTCTTTTTCATCTTGTGCCGATAATTCCAATATCTCGTTAGAAGAAAGTGGCTCCTCTTGGGACCATATCACAGAACCATCCAAATCATCAATATCATCTTCATGGTCACTTAATGTACTAATTGACTCTGCTTGTAACATGTTTTATTGCTGTAAATTAAGTTCACACAACGTAATGATCAATTACAAACACTTTTATATATTTAACCATTATGTTTAGTTTTTGCAAAATATAAGATACTATCATAAAATATATATGATACATATTTCTCATCTATGAATTACAGTAGATATTGTTTAATAACATTTTACAATTTTTATTTATAATAAAATATCTAAAATAAAATTATAATGCTTATTGATCATGCCAAATTTATTTTATAAGATTGTAAAAAAATACTAGAAATATTCCAATAAAAAAAATAGAGCAGATTACCTTTTTTTCTTTGAAAAGAACACAAATATTCAAATATTCTTTCATGGCAAACTCAATATTCTTGATATTGTAAATTTTCTTGCTACCACGATTCAGCTTCTTCAAAGACAAACAAACAGATCAGTTAGCTAACTAGAAATAATTGCCTGCTACTTCTGAAACAAATGAAACTGTTTGATGTTTCTATTGTCTCCAAATTAATGCAAATAAAATGACAGAGATATTGAGGTTATATACATATATATGATTAAATATTTTTTATTCAATTCATATTACGTTAAAAACTTAGAATTTGACAAATACTTATTCATTGAATTGAACAAAAATATGTATTCATTGAATTGAATAAAAAATATTTAATCAATAAAGATTGAAAAATTATTCTTGTCAAAGATAAAGAAGTGATTATAATTTTGGTAACACAATTCACACATTTTATTGTATTTTTAGGCAATTTTTTATAATTTTGTACATAAATTGACACAAGTTTGTATACAAAAATATTAGTATTTTAAAAAATACTGTAATTATTTTATACATTTTATTTCCGTATATTCTAAGATTCTAACTGTGTTAGTAATATCAGTATTAGAATATATTCTTTTATATACAGAAACATTAAAAAGGCACTCTCAGAAGATCATTAATTAATTATTAATTAATGTGGCGTTCATTATCATCAATTAATTATTAATTAATATAACATAGAATAATTCATTTTTAACCCTGCATTCTCGTAAACGCCCCCAATGGCGTAATGCAGGTATCAAGTTTAACTTGGTCTTATCAATCTTTGTTTTCGTTTGTCTGTAATAATCCTCAGCTGTGAAAAAGTAGAGGTAGCCTGAAAATTATTAATATAGATATATACAGTGGCCAACAACCATACCACATTGAAAGTACGAGTTCTCGTCCGATCATTAAATGCAGTACTTATTATGTTTACATACTGTTACAGTTATTTATAAATATGTGTGTTTACATTAACATAAACTATTAACTTACGATTTTCTTCTTGGATATCGAGTTCCTGCTTTTTATAATGTAAATACAGATTAATTTCACCCTTTTTTTGAGCGGCAGCCTTCCCCAACGATAAAATCGTATATTTCGCAATTAGTGTCTGATTTATACCACTTATAAAGTTATTAATTGTCTCCAAGGTATTACTTGTTTGCCTCCCGATCATATACTTGGGTACTTTATTTAATTCTTCTTCAGTGATAAATGATATTGTTGGACATATTTCTGGTTCGTTGAAAAGCGTTCTTTTACAATCTTTCACAATTTCTTGCTTTTCAATCCTTTTGGTGCTACTCTGCATTTGTTCCGACAGTTGGTGCGTTGAATTTACAGTACACCCTAACATATTAGGAGAGACTTTTGCATTCTGGTAGCCTTGTATGAGCTCGGGTGGAACATTCTTTTCTTGGTGGAGAATTCTTTTGTCCAAAGTTTCCACTAACTTCAATAATTCCTTCAAGCAAATAAAGACATTCTAATTCATGTCCAATTCTTGAATAAAAATAAATTCTCGGGAATAATTTGGCACTTACCCTTGAACGACAATTCTGTTCTCTCATTCTTTTCAACTGATTTTTCATTTCGTTGATGCCACATCCAAGTTGCGATACTTCCTCGCGTACTCTCTGAAGTTCATCCTTTATATTTTGCTTGCCTGTAAAACGTAAAACACGACTGCAAATTAATGTTTTATTACTCAACTAGCCAAATTTAAGAAAATCATATTTTATCAAACGCAACAAATTTTCTTGGTAACAAATTTGAAAAATCCGTTAATTACATCAATGTTTGCAAAACGACAGCAGAAATGTACTACACAACTTAATGTTTATATTTCTAGCTCTTATCAATTTGCTTTTATTTTATGAGCAGCAAGTTTAAAAGGAAAATACAAACCTAACCAGAAAACATATATAGGCACCAATTTCAATATTCAAATTAAACTTGCTGCCAATTTGCAAATGTATTGTTATAATTTTATTTAATATAAATGAGGTATAAAAGTGCAAAAAATGTACCTTTTATTAACACTGTGGCGCTGTTGAGTTCCAGAAGTTTCTCGAATTGCTCATTAATTATCTCTTCCAGATTATCGTTCTCATTCTGTTTTGTAAGTCTATTTTCGTCAATCATAACTTGCTGCAAAAATTACGTCAGATAATTAATATACACAATTTGTACTTTGTATGTATAAAATATTTTGAATATAAAGCTGTATATATTCCACCACATGTATGTGATCTCTTATGGAAAAAGCTATTGTAGTTACGAAAAAAGCACACAAAGCTAGCAATTACTGTAATATTTGTCATAGTGTCATGTACTTTTTTCGCACCCACAATAATCTTTCTGTAGCATTTTTCCATAAGGAAAAAATGTGTGTACAAACATATATATACATATATATGTATATCTTAACCAAATTTATATTACTTTCTGTAAACTTACATTAACCTAATAAGGAAACAATTGCTATATCGTAACGTACCGTTTTTCCCCCTTTTATTTTGTCGGAATATTATTATCAGATATTATCGACAAATGTAAAATAATTTTGTTTTAAGCCACGTGCCCCGTATTATTTTAAATTTCAATTTCACGTTTGTTTCCTCGATTCAGTCACAGCCCTCTCGGAAAAAAAAACAGCTTCTAGCTCCACTATGGGACAATCTCGAAACGGTTTGCTCAATTACGAGTGATGTGAGTGGGGAACTTTGGCGCCATTTTAAATACGCATTATACATATATTCTTACATATGGAGGGATAAAAGCCACAGTGGTGTAAGTTAAATTTTTAAAAATATTGACTTGTGTGCATAGATCCAATTTATATATTGTATAGATTGCATCTATGCACACGAGTCAATATCTTAAAAAATTTGACTTATACCACTATGGCTTTTACTCCTCCATATATTAAATTATGTTGACTTGCAATAATTATTTATAATAATTTAAGACCGCATGAAAATGAGATGTAAAATATGTTCATAAACCTTTATATATACTAATCAGTTTGGTCACTTTGCTGTCCTTTTTGATGTCACAGATGGATGATGCCATTGCTTTTGTTTAAAAGATATACAGAATGTTATCAATCTGTATTTAATTGTAAATCATCAGGGAATGAAAATTGAGATATGACATTGGAAAATGTATCCTAGTCAAGTAATGTATAGGATCAAATATTCACAGTATGGTTAAAAATATAATGGATAGCATATGATATATAGATTTGTCGGAGGAATAAGTTTGAGAAAATTTTATATTTTAGGATTTTTAATATTATTCAATAATAAAACATTACATTAATAATGTTAATTATATGTAATATCACGCATTATCATGCGGTAAGAGTCGTAGAAGTTCTTATTCCTACTGCTGATAGCTGCTATGTCGCCATTGTCAACGCGGAGTTCACGGCTGAGAAACCAGCCAATATCTCCACTGGGAATTATGACCTGCGAATGCGAGCTTTCCGGCGACAATCGTGCTAGAAAAAAATGCTACGTTCGTTATTATATCAATTTTTTACGTCATCGTCACGACGACGAACGGATCTATCGTTGTAAAGTTTTAAATACGAATAACTTCGACAGTATCCGTGATGTAGTTTACGAAATAAAATGCACTAATATACCACGAGTGAAATTACCGAAACGATAATATGGCAGCGATTTGTCAGCGAATATTCGAAAAACCATCCGCTCTTCGCACGCGAGGTTGATGTTTCGGTGTTTAAAAGCGATTTAAAAATTTAAAACAAAGTACGTAAAATAATGATGTATATTAATAATTACTTACTTCATTATTAGAATAATTCTTTATCTTCATCTTTATGTTCATCTTTATGTTGATCTTTATGTTGTTCATCATCGCACCAATTTAAATAACGGACAGCAATGCCCACGAGAAGGGGTGCGGCTGCGCCAAATGTGCCGAACAAAATTGATCCTAATCCAGTAGCGCCGAGTGATTGCAATATCGCGAATAAACTTCCAGCGGCTACGTTACCGATCAAAGATTGCCACAATGCTGCTAACGAACCAGCCGCAACACCACCGAGACCGAATCCAATGAGTGGCAAGGCAAACACACCCAATGTGCCGCCACCTAAGATTGAACATATTACAATAATACGCAGTAATTTCAGATTTTCGTCGCACACTAAAGTACGACCGCACTCGCCACATTTTTTGACCATTGTGCACTCGACAGAATGTTATGTTAAATTGATGATGATAGCGCGTGTGCAAAGATTAAATTGATGACGATATCGTGTGTGCAAAGATCAAAGATATAAGTATTAGGGTGCGGTCACATTGGGGAAGCCCATGGATGGTATCTCAAGTTT